CCCCCCCCCCCCCCCCATGAAGACTGTGTTCAGGTAGTCGCGGAATGTCCGTGGTACGAAGAGGAGAGGGAAGTGTACATGACTGAGCTGGGAGAAATACAAGGGACGTACAGGGAGATGTTTGAGGCATGGAATAGAGAGGAGAGGACAGTAGCTGTACTGGGGAGTAGGAAGTGGTTTGAAAAGGCGGGAAGGGATATCGTTAGGATAGACAGACTAGGGAAGACATTTTTGAGCCACCTTTGGCAAAGTAGGAAGGGACGATTGGCCATCGGTGATCGGTCCTGTGGGAACAATGCCCCGCCCTCTCGAGGACGCGTGGTCAATGGTCTAACCGCTAAGGCATGCAAAACATAAGAGTACGCCCCCCCCCCCATTCGTCGGGACGCCTTTTCCGAAAACACCCGGGTTGCAAGTCCCCACTATAAGCGTTTTCTTTTTTTTTATTACAAGGCATCGATCACGCGGAGCCCCCACAGCGGCCAAATTCCTATGGGACAGGCCGTCATTCGCGAACAACTCCGGATGTAGTGGCGATCCAAAATGTTGCCAACCCTCTGAAGCAACCTTAGGCGTGTCTCTACAGCATGGTGCCATCAAATTTTTTGACTGTATCGTTTTTTGAAGGTGTATCGAGCGCTGAAGGTCAAATTTCGGGGAATCTTGCGGGAGAATTCCAAACAAAGTAGGAGGTAGACATGTGGGCCGTGTTTTACTCCATATTGGCGATAGAGTGGTTCACTGGAACGTCTCTCATAGTGGCGATCTTGCGCCAACCCCTCAGTGCTACCTATGACTATGTAATCCACTTGCAACCCGGGTGAAAATGTATATTGACACGGCAAATATCCCGACAGGGCCGAGAGATCAGCAAGGAGTACCTGCGACGGCTACGCACGGCCGTGTTCAGCATGGAAGGCTCGGACAGTCAGAAGCTGCGGGACAAGGTCATGTCGGGATACGTTGTCTCCAGGTGAACGCGGCTGGTTAAGATTGCCCCCCCCGTGCATTTTTCGGCAAGAGCGCTACAGACAAACACAGAGCGGGAAGACAGAGAGAGACCTCAGCAGGATGTGTTGCGCCCACATGGAAGTCTTGTCCGTATGCCACTCGTGTCACTTACGTCCTGTCCACCCATGCCCACGCTCCTCCCCTGCCTTCCCTTTCCCTCGCCCTTCTATCCTTCGCTGTTCGTCCGCCACGGTGCGGTGCGGCACGGTGCCTGCTGATGCGAATCAACGCAACAACGCAGTGATTTCGTGTCGAAATCTTGCGAAGAGCTTCGCGCGATGGCAGGCCTGACGTAACGCAACGCAACTAACCTGACTGGGGCGAAACGGCCCTTCATTTATAGCTAGCAGTGCTTCATGGTGGCCCCCGCCAACCCACTCACTGAAGCGCTGACGGGATGGTCCGGGAGTGGTCGGGGGGAAGTCGTAACTGGCCTTGTTTGTTGGTACCTGCGAAATGGGGGTGCGCTTGGGCTTCCTCCGTTGCCTCTGCCCCGTGGACTTCTGAGGTTAGGGCGGCTGGTTAGAGTACAGATAGCAGTTTTACCACCACACCGTGATCTACCCTCTCTGACAGGTCGACCGCATCAGTACTGCTGCTGTGCGACATACCCCCCTCGTGCAAAGTCAAAGCCTTGTGGGTTGTATCTTGTGGGGTGCCCGTTTTTGTTTTTTGGCGCTGGCTTTCATTGGCCCCCTGTCCGGTCAGTTGAGAATCGAGAACACCCCCTCCCCCCGCCCGCCCCCTCTCGCCCGTGTGGTATATAGACGTAGACGGCACAGACGCATCGCCAACTGAATTAGATGAAAAACAGGGCTATTGTAGCCACATTTTGCGTGCTGCAGGGCAGACAAGAAGAGGGGTACTCTTACCTCCTCCCCCTTGTCTCCAGCGGGAGAGCAGCAGCAGCAGTGGACTATCTCTTTCATCTATCTCTGTATTGAATGAAGGTTTGGTCGTCGGTTTGCAACAGCAGTCAAGGTGAACGAAGAAAGCTCTTCTTGTTGTGGACGTATCAAATATCGCTTGGGACTGCTGGTTCCAATACTGGAGAGAGAGGGCTTGATCCTTTCTCTCCTGGGGTAGGACAAGGGGGAAAGAAACGGGGTTTGCTGTGTTGAGCACTCTGTTTCCTATCGGTACTCTTCGTAGATGCCAGCGAGGACAGGCGAACGCCGGTGAGGTAGAACGCCGAGAGCAGGCAAGAGCTCGAGGGGGGGAGAAAGCACGAAACTACCTGTGGTTGGTTGCGGTAACGGGACGACGACGACAAATCCTTGTTGCATTCGGACGAACTCCAAACGTTGCTGCGACTGGCTGGTTCGGAGGCAAGCCAAGCAAAGCCACGCGCGCGCCCCATGGAAGGGAATCAAGTCAAGTCAGCGTGTTCTCCTTCTCTTCTTGGCTCACACGTTCTGAGTGGGAATTGGTGGTGATGGTACTCGTGCTACGGTACTCCGGACCGCTCTTTCTTTCTGGTGGGGTCGCGAGAACGATTTTGCCTGGGTGAGAGACAAAGCAAGGCGGCATATGGCAAGGTAGGCAAGCACTTGGACGATTTAGCGAACACATGGATGGATGGATGCAGGATGGATGGAAATCGAATATAACCGGCTCGTCAGTGTTCGTTGGCATCCAATGCCTGTTGTAGTTCTTTGGGTGTCGCCCCCCCCTTTCCGCGTGCATGGCCATCTTCCCTTGGAGCGCGCCAGCAAAGAGGAAGCGGGTGGTTGAGAAACCGTGTGGTTTTGCCATCGATGATCGACGACACGACACAGATCGGATCTACTTGCAACGTGCGCATGTACGTAGACTTTCGGTTGTTTCCACCTACCGCCTAACCGGCCGCATTCATGTATGGGCCCCATCCGGCGACGTGCTTCTCCTGTCCACCACTAACGATGGAGGCAATGCGGGTTGTGTCGCAGGAACCCGACGTCTTTGCCTGCTTTTTATGTTTCGGCAAAATAGCTTTGCATCCACGCCCAAGAGCGGGAAAAGCTCTCGACGCTCGATGACGTTCGATGCAGAGATGGACAAGGACAGCGTGTGGTTCTGAAACGACATGACAGCAGTGCCGACTCGTCGATTCTATGGAGGAACGAACAGGCTTCTTCGAAGAATGCCGTAGGAGAAGTCCCGTAACCGTACCCACCCGTAGCCAAGCTACAACCTAGGCTATGCTTGGGAGAACGCCAACATGCATCAAACACGCACGCATGGTTTGCATGCATGCCCTTGATATTATAGTCAAAACAGCGATTGATTGCCCCAAGCTCAAACGAACAAGATCACAGCATACTAAACCTCTTGCACCACAGCCACATTTCAACAGGTCAGATGAAAATCACGCAAAAGTGCACGTGCAGCACCCAGCAGCAACAAAAAGGGACAGAATCACGAAACGGCAGGACTTCCCACCGCAGGATAAAACGACGGCACACTTTACGCAGATTCAACAGGCAATCCTGTCCCGGTAGGATGGGCAAGAACAAAACCAGCCCACTAAACACAACACACACTAAGGAGTTATATTCCTGGTGTCAAAGGAGAGCAAGTGTTGTTCCAGCAGCAAGACTCATGAAACTAAAGCACGGTCGCTGCTGCCACTATCTTTCATCGTACATACCGGTAGAGGTTACACATCTACTAGACGATTTGTTTCATTCTGATGCACGCCAGAAACTCTCCAAAAAATTATGAAACCTCATGCCAATCGAAACAGAGGAGAACGCACCAGTAGTTTTAGTCAAAAAGGAGAAAACAACATGCGAAGCGAATTCTCGAGCCCGTTTCGAGAGACAACCTTCTCGTGTAAAATTTACAGAACTTTTGATGGGGCCTCCCTCAATGCCCCCCCTTCCCCCCCCCCCCGTGAAAATATCCATCTCAAAACTATTTCCAAGAAGAGAAGTGGGTCCTAGAGCCATCCTTGTCCGACACGAGGTGGAAGCCTTCGTCCTTCATAGCCCGAATCAAGGCTGTTTCCAGCCGCCGGGCCTCGCTCCTGTTCTCCACTGGGACAACCACGGCGTCCAGCTTGAAGGATCTTGCGCCGCCACCGCCGCCGCTGCCCCTGCCGTCTCCCCACCTCTTGGCGTGCCGCTTGAGCCTCTCCCGGATGCAGTCGCTCTCTCCGACGTAGAACCAAACGCCGGCTTCTTCCTCCCCCTCGTCCTCCTTGCCCTTGCCCTTGCCCGTTCCCCCGCCGGCAGAGGAAGGCTTCCCGACCTCAGTCTCCCCCTCCCCCGACAATGTTCTTGCTTCCCCGTGTGCGTGTCCTCCTCCCCCCTCCGCCACGACAGCTTCTGAGGAGGGCTCTCGTCCAACTCCACGCCCTTCGTCGCCGCCGCCGCTGGCACCGTTGCCTCCTCCGCCGCCAAGTAGCGCCGAGTAGCGCAAGACGTAGAGGCAGGAGCGCCCCTCCAGGGCCGGGGGGGTTCCGTAGCCTGATTCGACCGAGATGAGGTCGCGGTGCGGCCGATCCGCGACTCTGCACACCACCTGTTGATGTTGATGTCGTTGATGATGTTGTTGTTGTTGCGCCAAAGGTTGGAGCATGGTTGTCGAGAATACGGTGACACAACCGCCGCGATGGATGATGAGTTGAGAAGCGAAACTGAGAAAGTGGGATACATGATCATGGAACACCACATACTCGCGCATCGAACATAGATAAAGAGACCAACATCACACCCCCTGAAAACACAAAAAGAAGCAAGCGGGCCAATCCACCGACCACCAGGGTCCCGAGCCCACAACACATCCAGGGAGGGTCGCGTGGTTCAAGGGTTGTCTACAACACACACATACACACATACATTACCTGGGTGGCATCCTTCATAGTCTTGAACCCGCCCGCAGAGCTGCCCCCTCCCCACCCGTCCCCGTCCTCGCTTGGCCACCAAACGTCACCACCATCGTCATCACTAACATCGCCCCCACCACTCGTGCCGGCCTTGCTGCTACTGCTGCTGCTGCCGCCGCCGCCGCCCCTTCGGACTTGGTCGAAGTTCTCGCTCAGGGCCTGGGCTCTGGCGATGACGCTGGCCGGGATGTTGTACTTCTTCGCCGTCTGCGACAGGTGGAAAACAGGCGCGTTTGCTTTTGTAGGACCGTTTTATTTGTTGGGTCGTTTTCTTGGGCGGTGATGCGCACGGCAACGCCGAAGCAACAAACGGACTATAAGGCCAGAACAAACAAAAAAAACGAGAAGGGATTCGCTCGCGCTCGCGTGCCGCTGGGAAGGAATCGTAAGGAGGAGATGAATATAATTTTTCATCTCTATTCCAAGAGATAAAAGAGCAGGAAACGACCCAAGAACGGTACAGAGAGGAGCGACGGGGGAGACGCAAGTTGCGTCCTTCCCGGAGAGCAAAAAATGGCACGGAAGGAAAGCAAGATATGGTTCATATACGGAAAAAAGTACCACTCACCTGCAGCGCGAGCGAGTCGGTGCACTTTCCGTCTTCCATGGTGTAAGTCCACCTCGGGTTGTCGGCGTCGTCCTGAAACGTCCGTCAGCCAGTCAAGCAGACCAGTCGACACAGTCAAACAATCAATCAAAGAGAACAACCGAAAATTAATCAAGAGAAGACAGATGGTAAATACTTGGTAAATAGGCAACGCATGCATTATGGTTACTTGTATCTTTTCGCGGAATGGGGTGCCCCGACCCATCGACCGAAGAAGGAAATGGGCTACAGAAACTGGAAGAAGAGGCCCCAGAGGGTGTTGGACCAACGGAAACGAACAGTGTCATGAAGCATGTGGGACCGGGAAGATAAAATCGATGCATAAGGCAGTCATTGACCTTGGGCGAAGGGCGTCGGGACAAAACTACAACATAGTATCAGTGGAGGGGACGTTTTCCGTCCCTCCCCTTGTCCCTCCGTCCCCATCTCCTTATCCATCCGCCTTTTCGCTGTGCCAATCTCCTTTCTTCTTCTCCGCCCCTCGTTCTCATCTCCCCGCCTACTGCAGCACACCGACATAGCCCCGTTCTCGCTTATTGGTCCCGCTTATCTCTCTCCATCTCTCTGCCTATCCCCCCCCCCCCCCCCCCCCCCACTCTTTCTCTTTTTTTTTCCCTCCCTCTTTCCCCCCC